TGTGCGACGGGCGGCGGGTAAAACTGGTGCGGCTGGGGCTGATGGAATGAGGGTTGCGAGGACGGTGGTGCGGGAGTTACGAAGCGTGGCATGTATGGTTGGCCTGGGAACGCGTTGTGTGCCGGTGTAGCACTCTGGAACGGCGACGGTACGCGCGGTGGGCCAGAGATGTCGGGCGGGGCGCTGTGCGATCCGGGGACGTCGTTCTGAGCAGGCTGGGGCGGCCAGTGATACTGGCGGTTGGCCTGGAAGGGGTTGGAGGGCGATGTCGCAGGGCGAGCGTCCATCGGGTCCATGGTGGCGCGCGAGAGTCGTATTTACAAGAAAATTCGTGATGCGCTCTGCGCGAGTCGTGAAATACCAGCTCGCCGGGTATAGGTGTCCGTTTGGTGTAAGGCTTCGTGCGCGTCGTCGTCAACAACGGCTCAAATGGCCCATAACCTGTTGGAAGCTGTACACGATGTGAGTATTCTAACCTCACAGCAGACACACGTAGTGGTAGCGAGTGAGTATATTCACCTGTACACGATGTGAGTATTCTAACTAGATACCGTTAGCTATAGTGTATGTGAATATAATATAAGAACATACCCTCACAGCAGACACACGTAGTGGTAGCGAGTGAGGGATGTTGACGCGGACTGTCACGGTATATCAACACACGTGACATCCGGTCACGATCTAATCTAATCGTTTCCGTTGTCCAAGCTGCACGTACGTCTCGTCCAACAAAGGTCGGCGGAGAGGGCACGGAATTTTACATACTCAGTCAATGTGGCGCACTCTTTTGTACCATCGTTCAATGCAACTTCGACTTCTTCCGGCACGAGCAGCTTCCGACGCTTGAGGCCGAGACACTCGACAAGGTCCGGGTGTATCAGAACTAAGTGCGCGCCATTATCAATGAGTCTGCGAACAGAAATAGGAAGATCGGAGACGGGACCTTCCATGCGGAAGTCCCAGTAAATGTGTGGAGTGCGAAATTTAGAACTCACAGACAAGCTCTCGTCAGAAGAGTCGTTGTCGTCCTCGATGTCGGGCATGACAGCCGCGGCGTTCTTCAAGGCGGCGACGGCGGTACCCTTGGCGGGGGCGAGACCGAATTGTTTACGTTGATCGGCGGTCAAGGCGGCGACGGCGGCAGTGACAGACACAGCCGTGATGGGTTTATAATTGTCTGCAGAGGGGAAAGGGCATGTCTTGCTCGCGGCTGGGTCAGTCGCATGGGCGACGAAGAGGACGCGGCACTTGCGACACCCGTGGTTGGCGTTAAGCAGCTGCTGTTCCTCGGCGGTAAGCTTCGGGCAGTGCTTGGTGTCGGTGTTCGAAGATGAGGCAGGGGGTACGTTCTCGTTGCGGGTCTTCTTCGGCAGGCGGTCGTTGCTGTCGCTGTTAGCGTTGTGTTTACCCGCTGCGGCGACGTCGGCAGCCTTGCGTTGTTCGTCCGCGATGGTGCGCAGGCGAGCATTAGCACGGCTACGTTTGATATCGATGCGTTCGACCTCGACGAGCCAGAGAGGGAAACTCTTCTCCTTCTTGGCGTCGGGGTCATCTTCGTAGTCCTCCTGAAGGTCGGGGAGCATGCCCGCCTCGAGCAGGGTGCGGATACGGTCGTCGTCAACGTGCGAGGTAGTGTTAATCAGAAGGGAGTTGGTCGAGCGGACGGCAGTAGCGAACTCGGAGAAGGGCTCCGTCTTCCCCTGCTTCCGTTGGTTCATGGTGACGCAGAGATCGCGTTCCCAAGACGGAGAGAGGACGAGGGAGCGGACCTTTGCCATGATCTCCTTGAACGTCATAAGGAGGGCGGCGTCGCGCTCCGAATCGATTTCGAGCCAGTCGGTGATGCGATAGTCCCGGAAACATCCAATGAGGATTGCGGCCTGCGCGGCGCGGTCGAGGGACTTGTACAATACGTAATTCTTGAAGGCAATTTCAAACTGGCGGAGGACGGCCTGGGTCGTCTCGCCCTCGTGGAGGACAGGCGGCTTAGTCGCGGTGGACTCGAGGATAGCGGCGGTGCCCGGCATGGTGGTACAGTAGGGAGTGGGAGTGAAAGTGAAAGACGAGTCCGAATCCGAGTACGCAGGTGGCGTTGGTGACGGTGGTGCCGACGAGTGCGTGGGCGGCGCTGGTGGCGGTGATGCAGACGGTGAGGTTGGAAGCGGCACAGACGGTACGATGGATGAAGGCTCCGCAGAGGGGAGCGGCGTGGGGAGGCCGGTGGTCTTAGATTGACCTCGGGTCTGGAGGGAATGCGGAACAGAGGGTTGTCTCGAGGCCAGTTTTGAGACGAGTAGCGAGCTGTGGGCGAGCTCGTTGAGTACGGTACGTTACAGTGTAGCAGTGGGAGAGAGGGAGGCTGTGGTGGGCCGTCGTTGGTGTGCACGTCAGGTGTGACGTATGGTGCACGTTTTTTTCACGCACGTGGAACTTGCTAGTTCTTCACGTGTGTGGTACAGTGATGAGCGCGTCGACGAACGGATGCTCGCCGCGACTCAGAGGACGGTGGGGAGGAAGGGAGAGAGGGGCGAGTGCGTGTACAAGCTCAATGGCGAGTCTCGCGCAAGGAAAGAGGAAGAAAAATGGAAAGGAAGGATATCGTTAAAAAAATGGAAGCTCGCTCACCGAGCTCCACAAGACAGAGAGAAAGGACGAACGGAACCAGAGAGAAAAGGGAAGACAGAGAGAGACCAAGATAACGATAAGTCCCTTTTCTGGGGAGGTGTATTCGAGACGGCGTATACGACGTTACAGGAAGATGGTGGTAAGGATCAAGAAGAGGTGAGTGCACGTGTTTGGCACGAGCGTTGTAAGTACGTGATGTAAGCAGCATGATTACAGCAGGCTGACGGTGGTGCAATCCCACCACCTTTCCAACCTGCACGAATGTCCAGCCCCTGCGATCAAAAATCAAAGCACTCTACATGCACTCTACATGCACTCATCATGATCCATTCCACGTTCCTGGGGCGCTGCCGTGGGGATTCAATATTCAGTGTGCATTGCTCAGGCAGAAGTGGCGGGATTGTGTCATGTGAAGCGACCTGGCTTCAACAAGGTATGCTTCTCGCTGATACAAAGGCTTGCTGGCTGCAGGTATCGAGTGCGAGCCAGGAGACCATACCGAGGTCTCAGAGGCGCCTGTAACCCAAGCAAAAGGGACCATGTCACCCTTGGCAGGAAAGCAGTTAGACTCTTCAGAGATGGATGCTTAGCCATCCAGTGGATCCTGGGTGTTAACCTTTGGTAGAGAGCCGCTACCGCTCGGGAAGTTGACCCATACGTGTCACAGGGAGCAGAGCTCTATGCAAGTACAAGGTAAGATCAAATTGCTTATCTAATACATAAAGCTGTGTGTTCCGCAGTACACTGACTAAGCTAAAGTACAATATAGCAGCATAGTGGCATATAGTGCATAGATTAGTAACTTTCCTTCACAGGGCCTCTGGGCATGCTAATAGTGCACGACTCTATAACCCATTGTCACACATCATCGGTCATGTGTTCGACTTTCGCGAGCAGCGCATCAGAGCGTATCCCGACCAAATTATGACATGAGAGTTCCATTTTGATCAGCTTACACTTAACCTCACTTATCTCACCTATTTCTATTTTTCTATTTTGATGGACTCCATAGTACCTCTTAATTGAGCTAAATACCGAAACTATTGTTGCTGACATCACTTACACACCCACCACATAAGCGACACCTTCCTTACTTGATCAACTCAACACCAAAATCCTTGAAAAGGAAGTTCGTTGGGGTTTTCAAACATAAAGAGTTATCTCTCAAATAAATTCTTCTGTTTTAACACTGATTTTGCAGCCAGTGTGCAGTGGAAAATATGTTTCCCAAGAGTTGCCCAAAATAACCCCCCATTCGTCTTCAACAGTGATTAATCCCCTAGCATGGGAATCCTTATCCTTTCTCCTCTTTGGATTCTCCCTGGCTATGTGCATATTACCTCCACTCCTGTATTAGTACTGTCAATTAAGCTTTGGATTCTCTCTCGCTAGTCTCAGAGCTTCTGCTGAGCCTTGAGGTTGCCTTTACAGAAGCTGAGTAAAAAATGACACTTAGGACCATTCAAGGCAGACAGAGGTTGAGCAGCCAAGAAATACTGATTTCAGACAGAGATGAGCCTCTGGAATTTTGCATGACTCTCAAATAGATCTATAGAGCACCCTATAATATTGCATTAAGCAGCAAGTACTAGTGAGCTTGCACCGCAATGACTGCATATGGCACATCATCACAAAAGATTCTGAACATTGATCTGAGTGTCCAGCAACATAGGGGCTTCTCAATAGAATTTTGAGGGGCTGCCTGAAAAGACAGGGTTTCCCTTAGAATTGGGGTTTCTCAATAGAATGATCCATTTTTGACAGAACACCATGTAAAATGTGTTCAAAATATGTTCTGCATACCCAACATCATGCAGAAGATATCTGAGTCATGGAGAAGTCATTTTGAATATCTTTCAAATATTGAACCAGCAACTATTCAAAAGGTATTGTAAATTGGTTCTCAATGTTTCACATGTTTGGCCAGTACAAAATTAGTTATCCTCCTTGTGTACATATGTATCACAGACAAGCCTCGCATCCAAGAGGTGCAATACACTCAAGGATTGGGTGGTGCGGTTTCAGCTTAAAATGATGTACAATGAACTGTGTGAACTATAGCTAAGTATATACCAATACTAAATAAAAATAAGTAGGAGACATTGGGGAAAGATGGACATGAGAGTAATGCTGAGAGAGGAATTGCGGAAATAATAATAGTATCAAGAGGATGCAGATGGGTATGTTGATGAGGAGGAGAAAGATATTATAGGTAAAGTCTAAAAGAAGGAGAAAGGAGGACTCAGCTGAAACAATATGTCCGGGTGATGGAGTGCTTAACAAGATCAGGGGTTCGGAGGTGTTCAAGTTGTATTAGAGAATGGGGACGGGAGCGGCCACAAAATAAATACCGCATGGCCAGTGAGCAAAAAATATTCCGGTACGGGGAATCGAACCCCGAGCTGCCGCGAAATTATCGCGATTACGTAATCCGCACTTCGCGTAATGAAAAGCGGCAATGTTGACCGTTACACCATACCGGACATGCTGAGAGATTGGGAGAGAAGTATTAGGATGTAAAGGAGTATTCGCAGGTGTCGAACAAGTTTCAGAATATTTGAATCATTTTGAAGGTTTTGGAGGCTTTTTGGCAATTTTAGAAGGAATAAACATGGAGGGTGCGACTATTTTAAGGTGTCTGAGTGCCAAAATCCTTGGCATAATCCTCAACAACAAGCTCTCCGGGTCAGAAAGCATGTTGAGCTTTGTGCTGGGTCAAAGGACAAGGGCAGCCTGGAGCAATCCAGCACACCATATTCAAGGCCGAGGTCACCGGAGCAATCCTCACCCTCGCCAATGTTGACTGTTATACCATGCCGGACATGTCAGATGAATATGAGTAGCTAGTATGGGTAGACAGAGGCTCCAAAGTACAGTCAACTTTGACATCCTTTTTTTCACATTTGTGGAGGGCAAACAGCTATATATCGCAATATTGACCGTTGCACCACAGCAGAGGTGAAGAAACCATGTGCATGTGAAGGCAGAAAATCAATATTTGATTGCAATAAATGCTGACCTTTACACCACACCGGATTCCAGAGCAAAAGGTGAAACTCACAGCAGAAGGAAGAGTGACAACATGGGGTTGGATTTTTTACAGCTTGCTAGACTGTGGTGAAAGAAAGAAATTTGTTTCTTCAGGAAGACCATGGTAATTTTGTGTCCCTTCCAACGATCATGAGGGAATGAGAGGATGAGAGAATGTGGTAACAGGAAATCCCTTGTATTGTGGTTGAAACTGTCAAAGAGAGCAATGAAGTAGAGGCTTGAACTTGGTGGTCGAGTCTAAGGCTCCAACTGTTTAGTTTTTGTTTACAAGGGCCCATAAACTAAATAGTAAATGGTTCAAAAATGTTTGCAAACATTCAAAAACAAATATACTGTACCATTTCGACCAAGTGTTCATTAATTTTGGATTTTTTATGCACCAAGATGGCCGAAAAATTTTCTTTTGATTTGTGGTGATTTTCAAAGGCCTCAGAAAAACCCGGTGTTACGTGTTACTTGAACACTTGGTCGAAATGGTACAGTATTTATCCAATACGGAAGACCGCAGTCTTGGCTTGAATAAGAGCTCAAGGTCTCTTACCTTCTGTGAGCTCTGCACATAGTTTCTACACCATGTTGGCCTGCACGGATGGGCGGGCTTCCTCCACATAGGTAGCAAATTGAAGTCCGAGATGCCTGGAGTCACCATCAAACCAAGGGCAAGGATGTGTAATGTTCAAATTGAAGGTTCAGTCATAGGTTAGTCTCTCTCAGACAGATGCTATAACTGAACGCTCGTTCCTCGCTAGTTATAGTCATAGGTACGTAGTTTCTGAATGAAATTGAACAGTGAATTAGGGTAACAAGGTCAGTTGAAAATCCCTGCAAATATTACCGTTTAAACCGTTTGTAAAATGTTTACCAGGGCTCGTCAGCTAAAAGGATTATTAATCTGTTTACAAATGTTTAGAAACATTTAAAAACGGAAACGGTTGGAGCCTTAGCGACTCGAGTCGAACATAGCAAGCAAGTAAGGCGACTGTCGAGAGACCTGCATTCCAATGGGACCATGGGCTGCGATCGACATCCGCGACAAAACACGTGAAATCCACGAAACTGAGGGTGAACTTGAAGAAGGCCCCGGAGCAAAATGTGGCTGTGCTCGTTATGATTGCATTGATGGCCGCGGCGATGGGCTTACCGGTCAACTCTCTCGTCTCACATTTCCACAGGAACTCGTGGACATGATCATCGACAACCATCACAACATTCCTGGCCTCATGTTTTTTAACTGCGCGCACATTTGTCGGTGGTGGTGGACCCGAGTCCACTATTTACGATTTTGATGAAGAGTTCGTGAATACCCTGGAGCAACACCGTACACGTCTGCTCAATCATGGCCGATACAATGTTGTCCCTCGTTCTTCTGCTCCTTAACTTGAGGCAAATTTCCTTGTCGAGGGCGTGATCATGTAAACTGGAACAGGGAATATGACATGGGCTGGAACAGAATGGAACGGCCGCTGAAATCCGCGTTGGCCAGCGTGTTTTCAGTGAAGCGGCAAGTCTGAAGGAGTTGTCACTATCGCGTGTATGGTTCACGCACCAGGATCCGCTCGAGGCTCGAGCTGCCAGTGTGGTCGGATTCGGAGCCTTTGGCGGCAGCTTCAGGCCCTCCTCGTCAACTGCTCTGAAATCTCGATGTTGTGTCGTTATGTTGTGAATCCACGAATCCAAGCGCCCACCGAAACGTCAGGACACCCAAATTATCGGACGAACTTGGTCGACACAGGAAATGATCGAAGCAGTCGGGGTCGGTCTCTCCGGGAGCGTTGAGCATTTACGTCTTGAGCTCCGGGACGAGGGATTTTGTGAGTACTTTCTTGAATCCCACCTGCGATGGAAGTGGGATTGAAATTTCTTTGGCACTCTGCGCCTGTTCTTCTACTCGATGTTGCTGCTGATGTGCATCTGGGCAGTACTGGCGAATCCGTACAACGCGTTCGTGCGTTGGGAGGCGGCGGTGCAAGCTGCGCTGCCCTCGCTGGTGCGGCAGGGTATGTTGGGTTCCGCAGGGATGCTCGATGATGCGCTTTATGGTTGGCCTGGTCCAGCCACTTCTGGTGGTTGCAATTCAAGCGCCCTGGACAGCGATGGTCAGCGTACCTTGGAAAGCACCAGCCCATGCCGGCTCTTATGTCCACTCCAGGCGGACATCTGAATCTGTCTAGATATTGCCAACTAGAAGGGCGTAACTAACTCGGTTGAGAGCGTATGTATCTACTTCGTTTCTATTTTACATCCAAGAAAAATGGGCACAAACTCACTCAACATCTTGCCAAGGCCGATCCACATTCGCATCGTCTCCACCATCAGCCGCCTCCACCCCTGCCATCGTCAGCTCCTCCATCCTTCGCGTGAATGCATTCATATCCCGCTCCGCGGTGGCCCGCGTAATTCCATCATATCCGCCGGCCTCCGACACTGGGCTACGCGGGTCCCACGAGATATCACCACCCGTCCATCCGCCGCCCAAGTACACATAATTGAGGAAAGCGCGCCACAAAGGGTCCAGCGCGAGGACGTCCGGGTCCCCGATAACGATAAGCAAAGCCTGCGCACGGGTTACCGCGACTGCGCTTGCGTTAGTCTGGACACGCAGGTGGGCAGGAAAGGACAACATACCGTTAAATCGGCGTGGGTTAGCGACGAAGCCGAGCGTATGACGAAGGTCGTACTCGACGAACTCGCGGCTGCTGCGCACAGTAGAGATGATGATGACTCTACGCTCCTGTCCTTGGAACTCTTCTACAGAGCCCACTTTAACCCCGTCGGCGACAGCCCGTAGCACAGCGCGGATCTTGAGGCATTGGGCGTGGTACGGCGTGATGACACCGATATCATTGTCCGCTGTGGAATCGACACATTCAGCAGCAGAATTTTGAGGCAGTCACAGCTACTCACTGATGCGGAACCGTCTGTCCGCGCGCAATTTCTGTATGTATTCTTTGACTTGCGATACTTCGTCGATATTGAAAAAAGAGGGCGAGGAAGCCTCGCGGTCGTCCTTGCCTGAGATCGCGTGGAATATAACCGGGAACGTCTTTGCGGGAAGCAGAGGCGAGTTGAGATACGCATTGATGACACTCGGGTCGCCACACTGCTGCAGCTCGCCCTTGTAGAAGCGCTCGTTGGGGAACTTGAGAATCGCATTGTGCGAGCGGTAGTTCTTGGTGAGCTTGACGACCCTGGTGGCGTTTTGTGAGTATAGTAGAGGGGAAGAGCGACGGGTGAACCCTTACGAGGTGCCGTGGCCCTTCTTCTCGTCGTAGATCTCACGCTGCATCAAGCGCTCGATGTAGCTGGTTTCGAAGCCTAGCTCCCGCGCAACAGCTGAACGGATGATGGGCCCAAGCTGCTTGGGATCGCCTGAGAGGATGACATTCGTTTTACTATCTGCCATTGTCTTGATCGCTGCCCACGAGTTAGCTATTGATGCACTCAGATCGGCGAAACCTACCGATCATGGCCTCTGCTTCCGTAGCCTGGCCAGCCTCGTCGCAAAAGATATGCGTGTAGTGACCGCGCGGGATGCCGATGCCTGAGACGACCGAAGCCGAGACACAGGTCAGAACCACGACGCGGAAGCGCATCATCCGCGACAAAGGAGGTACAGAGAAGTGGGGCTTTTCCGCATGATCATTGTCCCTGTAACTGCTTCCCCGTTCATCGACCTTCTCGTAGGTGTAGTCCAGCAGTTCGAGGGGAATTTGATCCTTGTTGCGAGAGGGGGCGTAGAATCGGAACAACTCATTCGTACTCAGCGACTTGAGCCGGGTCGCGATGAGGTCGGCTGCTGAATTACTCGGAGCGCACGCTAGGATGCGAGCCTTTGGGTCAGCTGCGAGGACCTGGCGGATGGCCTCCACCATCGTTACTGTCTTCCCTGTGCCTGGACTGAATTGATAGTCAGTGTATTGTCTAGCTCCTCGAGAGATGAAACGCACGGTCCAAAAATGACGAATGGGACAGAACCCGGTGGTCGCTTGACTACGGCCATAACGGCTTGGAGCTGCGGGACGTTCGTGGCGATGAGGGGATTGAAGACTTTCATTCTTGCCCTTGCTTGGGTAGGGTACATTGCCGACGGGACATGGAGGGGTAACGGGAAGAGGACCCGATCCTCGGAGTATGCCGTACCCAAGGCGAGGTGCTGGCGGCGCAAGGGGTAGCGATTGAGCTTGAATCGCACATTGAAACGGTCTGCTGGCGACGCTCTGAAGGATGAATGAAATCTCAGCCCGACATCCTCCTTCCGTACGAAATGCACTCCGCCTTCAAACCAATGACCAGGAGTTGACGCGGCGGGCTTCTGCACGAGAATGCGGTCCCCTGTAGGCTCATTGAGGTCCAATATTATGGCAGAACTATGTGGAAACTGACCGACGAGGACGCTTGGTCTTTTCTCTGCGAGCCCAGGGACGTTTAGGCT